CTGTAAATGCCATAGTGCAAACTTTATAAACCATTTACAGATGTGAAAATATAAATGGTAGAACTGGGTCCCTGGAGGAGCAAGTTCAAAATGCATTTAGCTGATTGTGAGGAGTGGGCGTGCCAGCGTTCCACCAGGGATGTGGCACAGTGCCGGGGAGGTGGCCACCGCCGGTGGGTCCCAGCTCAGCTCCCTGTGCGGGTCACAGGGAAACTGCACGAGGCCAAGTGTGGAAACAAAAATAAATTCTGTGTGTGTGTGTGCATGTGGAGGGCTGTAGCCATCACTAAATGTAAACCCTTAATTCTCAATCACAAAGCAGCACACTGAAGGTGATGTTATTAATGACCGAGGAGCAGGCGTGAAGCGTGGGAAAGCTTCTGAGTCAGGCTTTGTCCTGATTTTGAGGAGCAAGCGTGAAGCGTGGGAAAGCTTCTGAGTCGGGCTCTGTCCTGGCAGTTGATAGTCTGTGCATCTCCACTGAGCAGTCCAACCACCCGTTCCTCAGTTCTCACATCCGTGAAATGGGTCTAAGCACCTCTTCCCCCTTTTCCTCACGAAGACGACAGTCTGTGCAGAAGCATTTTGTCCACTGTCGGGCACCCCACAAGCCTGCAGCGTTTCAGCACAAGCAGGGACCACCACAGATCTGGGGAAGGCTCTGGGGCAGGCACGCAATCCCTGTGGCCTGGGCGGCGCTTGCTGGAGTCCCAGCGGACCCTGTGCGCCGGAGGGACCCGCACCTGAGAAACCCCAGGCCATCGCTTCTTCTCCCCGAGATATTCCCACTCACGCACATCGCTGGTCATGTGCACCCAGGTGCTCTCGGGAGAGCCAAGTCAGCTGCTGAATGGTTCGATCTTTTATAACAGAAAGAAGGGTGCTACAAGAGCAATCTTGGAAGTGGGAGATCACACAGATCCCCTCCTAATGTGGAGGCTGAAATCACACAACTTTCTGTCCTAAAAGAGCTGAATTTACACAGAGGTCAGCTCATTCCCCTGATAAGGAAATACGGCCTCCTGTTAAAGAAACTAGACCCCAGCCGAGGCCAGTTGTAATTCACAGAGTTCTGTGGATTGACTATTGTAAACTGTGAAAGCAAAAGATTACTGAAATGAGGATTATTCCTAAGAACGTGGTGAGCAGTCAAAGCGGGCGACCCTCCTGCACCCTAACAATGGAAGCTGTGGGGTGAGCAAAGCTCACATCTGTCTCCAGGAGAGCCTGGCGAATAATCTCCCTGTGCCTGTTATGTTTACAGCAGAGAATCCAAGCCCCAGGATGGGCTAGAAATAAGTAGCCTTAGCAAAAAGCAACATCTTGACCCACGTTCAAAATGCTAATTCTTTGACTTATGACGTATTTTAAAATGCATGTAACCAGGTTAAAAAGATGTGTTAGATGTGGCTAAAATTCCTGCATGCTCAAGCTGAAAAATGCCTAGGATACGAGCTTAGAGGTTACAGAGCGTACGAGACCGTCGCGAAGGCCGAGGGACCAAGAGTACAACCCGCTCACTGCCGGGATGACTCAGGCCAAGCTCAGACTCCAGGAAACCAACAAGTAGCCCGAGGTTCTTTTTCCTACAAGGAGTTACATAATGTCGGGACTCCTGGTATTATAAGATAAAGGCAAGGATAGTAAGGAGGAATCTTAATTTGGCCAACCAAAGCATAAATGGAAGCCGATTTGTGGGCTCCTCTTCAGAGCCACTTCCCTGTGATCGAAATCAGTTTGTATTTGGCTTACTTTGGTTATACCTACACCATGCCCATGTCTACAATGGCACACACATCTGGAAGCAGAAAAAAATAATTCCTGGCTGGGAGAATACAGTTCCTAAAGACAATGAAAAAGAAAAAGAAAAGGCTGACCAGCTGCGATAGGTTTTGCAAGCGCTCTTTCCTGCTGTTTGTTTCAGGGAATCCTAGCAAATGAAATGTCACGAGAAGAAATCTTACAGGGAATCAGAGCTCATGGTGGGCAGAGTTCTCATCCCCCAAAAACTCTAATCTGCATTCTTTTCTGTTTTTTGGCCTGTGATCTCAGTGAATATCACAGCCAGGCAGGGCTCACGGCAACTCTGGGAGGTCGGCTCCTAGAAAGGGCATACAAGGTGACGGTGAATTCCACCTTGAAGCATCGATGCGCAAAAGTCTGCCAGGCACAGAGGCTTTCAGAACTGGGCGTCCCTCCTCCGTCTGCCTCCCCAAAGTGTCCCTTTTACCCTGGGGGCTTCCTTCCTGACTTCTAAGCCTCTGAGCTATGTCTTCAACACCAGATGGGCTACAGAGCAAAGAAAGCAACAGTCCCAGAGTTGGAGTAAGATTCAGGTGCACATTAAATTTTAATCCAGTTTCAGTTTACATGTTACACGTAATTGGACATGAGGTTATGAATTTTCTTTTCGAAACGTCCCACGTTTGCTGCTCTGGGTAAGAACCAGGCAAAGTGTTATCTCAGGAAGTTTAAGAGCTTAGAGGATCCAAGAGCGAGAGTTTATCTGGAAAATTTGCTTTGTCCATGATCAAGAATGTCCTGTTAAAGGCCAAATATCACAATTCAGCGTTGGAAGTGACAAGAAGAAAATTTCCAGAAAGTTCCATTTGTTAGCTGACATGTAGAGAAGAGTTTCAGAGGTAATTGGGGCCCACTTTCTACCATGTGTTTATGAATGATTAGAGGTTGTGGCAGGATACAGTGAATGGTTTAATGTCATGCTGTTAATCAGGGATGCTGCTGCTGCAGGACAAATTGACCAAACCCTTGAAAATATACACAAAGAATATTAAAAAGGACTCACGCGTGAATTATTCTAAAGAAAGCTGTTGCAAGTCATGAGGGGCTCAGTCCATGTTCCCGGGCTTGAGAAACCCACCCAACAGATCTTGCTGACCCAGATCCAACAGGTAACAGATAAAGGGTGTCACCAATTACAAGGTTAAAGAAAAGAAATTATAACCTATGGTTATACCATCAAGTAAAATTTGGTCATTGAAACATTAGTGTTTTTACAGAAGATGCTTGACTGAAATTCTTAGTTTTGAAGATCCATTCATAGAAAAGGACCATTTAAGAAAATCAGTCAAGTTCAGATTTCCCAGAAAGGCTCTATCAGAATAGGATTTACTTTTTGCAAAGATAAGTTTAGACACGAGTGTGGCTTTCTGAGCAACCACAATTAGGAAAAGGCCATCCACTCCTGGAAGATACAGTCTCCCCTCCAAGACAAGGCAGGAAGGAGGGCTGCCCATGCCCACCCTGCCCTGGAAGGCACGAAGAGCTAACCGGCTCCCTCGGAAAATGCTAAAGGTGGGACCATCACACCGTCTTGCAAGATGAAGTAAGAGAAGAAGAAAGTGCTGATGCTGGAGAAACAGCAAGCTGGCCGGAATTTCAAACCAGCATAAGCCGCCAAGCCCAACGTGAAGGGATGCAAGCCAAAGAGAACGAATCCCTGCAGTGTCTGACCAGTCAGAGGCAACACTAGAAGCAACTTCTACAGCGGTTGTTTTCCTGTCTACAGCTGGCCTGTTGGAACTGGAGATGTGCCAATCTTTTGCAAAGTGTCCCTCATCAAGAAATTCAAAGGAATGTTGCCATGTTCTGATGTATTGGCCAAGTTCCCAGGGGAGTTAGTCATGTTTTGACCATGAGGGAAATGTGGTTTCCAGCCATACAAAAGATGCCTGAACAAAGCGGGTTGAATTGCTCATGCTAATGCTGTCGTTTTGAGATCCTAAAGCTACTTTGTCCATGAGGAACTGTTTTGGATGAGGCTACAGACTTTACAGCCGTTAGGTAAGAGGAAGCCCTCCAGGCGTTTACATTCCATGAAGAAAGTTCCAAGGGTCTTGTGGCGAAAGAGCTAGTTCAGGAAGTCACTGAACATAAGCAGGTGATCTATGGCCCTAGGGCCTTGGACAGGGATCCTGTAAAAGATGACATGGGTGTGAAACAGAAGCCTACACTTTGCAGTAGTCCTGGTCTATCGTCAGGGGTCTGGGATGCCAGTCCTGGTCTATCGTCAGGGTCTGGGAGGTGGGGAGGGATGATTGGGAAAGAGATCAAATGTGGGTTGAAAAGCAGCATTCTCTTTGCGTGGATAACAATGCTTTTCCAACAAAAGGAAAACCAAGCAATTTGACATAATGATATGGCATGTCCAATAATTTAAAGGGATTATCTGGGACTCTTGGCTCTTATCGCACTGTGAGCATCTCCCAGGTCTCGCCCTCTTTCCCTGTGTGCACCTGCACCTATGCTCTCCCTGGAGTGCGGAGGCTTTGGGACTCCCTCCGTGACTTCTACCCGCTTCTTCCGAACCTGTCTGGCCCTGCATCTAGAGATGTCTAGGCGAAGGAGGGAAATCTCAGGGTGGCAGTATAAATGTAGGTGTTTCACCCTTTTGCCAGATTTATGCTTAAAAATACAGGCATAGAGAAGAGGGAGGTAAAACTCTAGAATGAGGTGTGTCTGGTTGAATTCCACGACTCTCCGGATCCCTGAACCGCGAGCCGACACTGTCCTAAAGAGTATTCATGACTAAGACCATGGTGTATTTAAGAAAATAGCTATTATGATGGTAGATTTGTCATGAGTGCTACTTAAGTATCCATATTGTAAATACTCCTATGAATTTATTTTAAAAATTAAATGTTGATTATTTAGTCATTTTCTAAAAATTTGAGTAACTGTAAAATTTCCCTTCCATATGCATGCATATCTGGAGAAAACACTCATGCTTTAGGGAATTCCAGATAGGAAGGATATGACATGAACAAGCTGGAGGTATGTCAGGGGAAAAGGCAGAATGGGTTGTGTGGAAAAGTGGCTGAAATTCCGAGGACTCAATCACGTTTCTATATCAAGGCACTGGGGTGCACAGGCCATGTTTTTTAACAGACATTTTTCTTTGCAAATGACACATCATTTTTTTTTTGTGAACTACTGAGTGCATGGATTTTTAAAAGAGAATTATTGTCATTAAATCTTACTTGAGTTCTTGGGAGCTGGTGGCCAGCATACTTCGAATGCTTTTGTCCGCCAGGGGGCAGCCAGATAGACTGTAAGACAGGCCGGGACAGGCAGGTCAGTCAACGCGAAGCGCATAACTCCCGAACAAACACAACATAAAAACCAAAATTAAAGAGTTAATGCAGAAAAGCAATGGGCAAGTGCTGTATATTGAATTTTTTTTTGCATAATTAATTCTGAATTGGTTCGAATATAAATTTAAGAAAATGTTTCTGTTAATAAGAAATTGTTTAAAAATAAGATAAAACATTTGTGCTCTTGGCTTCAATGCTTAAGAAGAATTTTGCAAAATTTAGGTTGTTTATTTGAAGATAAAAGACATTATACAACACATAAATTAGCATGCTTTTGAAAGGTCAACATATAGCACTTAAAGGGTTGACAACAGAATTCAACATTTTTACTTGACAGCATTGTTGAGGTAAGCTGAAAACAATAAATTGAAAAGACAGAATCCACCATGAGAAAAATGAAGTCACACCTTCTGTGTGAGGCGTAATTACCAGTCACATGACCACTCCCATCACACCCTGGAGTTGGACATCTGCCACCAAACAAAAACAAAAACAGCCAAAATAGTAAGTATGTTTTAAAAAAAAACTTTTAAAAAAGTTTCATTGTTTCCAGTTTAGCTGCAATGTCTGCAAGGGGATTTAAGCACCATGAAGAAAAGCGGCAAAATGCACGGGTTAAATGAAAATGACGCCCCCGTCCAACAGAGCGTCATTGGGAACAGGCAAGTGCACGGTGAGCTGCTCACTCTACTGACCCGGCAATCGGAAACATTTATATGCTGCGAATGTCGCATGCTCAAACGGCAAGGCATATACAGATCCGGTTTTTAAAAATCAGCCAAAGAATGGGAAGATTAAGAAGATTCATAATTTCACCTCACAGCATGCTTACGTTATTAAATCCTTTTTGCTCTCCTTGCACTGAGGGTACTTGGGTTTGGGACTTGGGATGGTCACCTCCCCGGGATACCGTCTTTCTTCTAGAGCCTCCTGGAATGGGTCCAAGTCTTCTGGCTGTGGGCAAAACACAGCTTCAGAGCCACACGGATGATCACACGGCGCACAGACTGAGGGAGGCGGTTCGTGGCTCTGGGGTGGCCTCTGATCTTACACCTCTTTCTGCTGTACCTTTAAGATCCTCTTTGTCCTGATAATGCCCCTTCTGAAAATGCATATTGAGCTTTTCTTCCACTGCTCTAAACTAAAATGATGGTCACCTGTCAGTGGTCAGGGCCCTTATTCAATATTCATCTGGCCGTGCTCACCACATGGACACACACACGGTCCGGCAGCCAGAGACTACGTTTAACTTGGTCTTCCTCATTCAGCATTCAGCACACACCTGCGGGTGGGCTGCTTTATCCAACACTTGCCTGCAAGATTCAACACTGGAACTACAGTGTGTTAGGGCTAAGCTTTCCCCCACCATTGGTCAGGATTTTGCAAGCACGTGCTTTAAGATTCGGGGTAAGGGAGACCAATTTAGAGGAAAGTAACTGAATTTCCTTTTTGGTTGTGTGTTCACCTGCAGTAACGTGGATGTTTCTACAGGTGGCGATGCTCAGCAGACACATTTCCTAAGTCTAGCTACATGGGAAGGTTTGTCTTCCATGACGATCCAGGATGAAAACACTTCTGTCATTTTGTGAGGGCTTTTACTTTCAACTAAAATAAATTTGGAGATTCAACCACCATGCCTTATTTGGTAGTAATGATTCAACACTGCAGGAGAAAAAATACTTAGAAATTTAGCTTGCCACTCTGATTTGGTTCTTTTTCACAATGCCTGGATACTGAAATCAATTTGAAGAATGCAGATAACAGGCTTATAAGCAGGTGCCCTCTCTGCCAATTTCTACATGGGGCTAATGTTTCTTTCTTTTTTTTTTTTTCTATTTCCTTGCTTCTGTAAGACACTAGTGCTTTGATGGTGGTCTCTCCATTGTACTAAAAATAAATTTCATTTTTCAGTGAATAAAGAGGATGTCATAGTTCTCAGAATCAAAGACTTTTAAGTCAGTACATAAAGAAAACATTTTTCTTTATTTCTTTTCAAAGCCTAAAGGGCATTATATCTATTTTAATAACCTGAATTTGAACACTGTAGCTATTTCAAAAATGTGTTCTTGACATAGATGTTTAAGTAATACAGTCATAAACAAAGATTTAGGTGATGGTACTAGAATAATTAATTCAAGGCTAGAGTAAACTCTTTTGAATACTTTAGGTTTCTTAGAGAAGGGACACTGTCCTTAGTTTTGAAGAGCTAGTTAATTAACAGCACACAGTTAACCATTTAAGTATCTAAGACTCCTATTAAAATTCTCTACCAGCAAGGAAAATCCAGTATTGTTCCAACAGGACACCCAGAAAAATGAAATCACATGCTATTTATATGTTTTCTTAAAGTAATCATTTGTAACAAAACATATTTGTTAGAAAATAAACTTTATCATTTACAAGAGTCAATAGTTAGTTTCACTCTAATCAGTGTTAGTCACAAATCTCTTCTGGGTCAACAAAAACTGTTTTCTAAGTCTCCTCAGTTAAAGGTCATATTTAAAGAGAAAATATATTTTCTCATAAGGTATGTGCAAATGGCACTTCTTTCAGCTGGGCCCCATTTTAAAGTCTGGCAGTTAACACAGGCTCAATGAAAAGGACATACAGTAATGTCTTTGGACTCGTCCTCGTCTATCCTCCGGGGTTTCATTTTGGTGTAGTCTACGGGCAAGTCCCAGCAGTCGCCCTCGCCCAGCTGGAAACACCGGTTGTTCATCACTGCCTGCTGCTGGGGGGACATGGGCTCCAGGGGGGTCAGGATGGGGCAGCAGCTGTCCCGCGGCCTCTGCTTGTTCATGCTGAGGTCCAGGGTCCCGTTCTCATCCACCTCCATGTCAGGGTTCTGTTGGTAGAAAGACATGGTGACTGTGCTTGGCCTGGCACCTTGTAACACCACGGGTCCTTCCTCCCAGACTGCAGTCTTGCCATCAGCCAGGGGAGCGTTCAAACACGGAATTCCTCACTGCTGTTTCCTTGGCCTGAACTCCCAAGGTGAACAGTCCTGGTCTTTTGGTACATTCCTGCTATCCCATGCTTAGCTGCAAAATTGGTTGGAGAATCCAGGCATCGCTCCCACCCTCCCTCCCTCCCTCCATTTCCCTATTTATCTACTGTCTATCCTCTCTCTCTCCTTCCTTGTTGTCCTATTATATCTCTGATTTAGAGTTTGTTCAGAATAAAATTACAAAGTGTTTAGTTTTAATTTTATTACAGTTACAAATACCTAAGAGATAAAAATTTTGCGTGTATGCATGTGTGTATATACATGTATGTGCATGTATGTATGTATGTGTGTGTATAAACACATATATATATCAGCTTAAAAATTCTCTTTTAGTTTTATTGATGCTAATAGTTCAAGAATTAGGGAGTAGGATAACAAAAGAATTAGAAGGGTGAAGGAAAGAAAGAGAAGAAACTAAAATTTACCTTGTAATATAATTTTTTTTTTTGAGGGACAGAGTCTTGCTCTGTTACCCAGGCTGGAGTGCAGTGGCACGGCCTGGGCTCACTGCAACCTTCATCTCCCAGGTTCAAGCAATTCTCCTGTCTCAGTTTCCCAAGTAGCTGGGACTACAGGTTTGCGCCACCATGCCCAGTTAATTTTTGTATTTTTTAGTAGAGGTGGGGTTTCACTATATGTGGGCCAGGCTGGTCTCAAACTCCTGACCTCAAGTGATCCGGCCGCCTCAGCCTACCAAAGTGCTGGGATTACAGGTGTGAGCCACTGGGCCTGGCTGTAATAAGAACTTTTATGATGAAAATAATTTTTCATTTTAAGAAAGGACATCTGCAGTTGCAGCTAAAAATACCTTTACTACAGTGATTACCATCTGATCTCCTCTAAATTTCAGCAAACCTGCAATTTAGTCTACTGGCTTAAACAACAACAACAACAACAACAAGGTCCAGGGTAAGGCTTTTTGGATTTTTTAAAGGATGCTTTGAAATGCATCAAGGAGGCCGGGCGCGGTGGCTCAAGCCTGTAATCCCAGCACTTTGGGAGGCCGAGACGGGCGGATCACTAGGTCAGGAGATCGAGACCATCCTGGCGAACACGGTGAAACCCCGTCTCTACTAAAAAATACAAAAAACTAGCCGGGCGAGGCGGCGGGCGCCTGTAGTCCTAGCTACTCGGGAGGCTGAGGCAGGAGAATGGCGTAAACCCGGGGGGCGGAGCTTGCAGTGAGCTGAGATCCGGCCACTGCACTCTAGCCCGGGCGACAGAGCCAGACTCCGTCTCAAAAAAAAAAAAAAAAAAAAAAAAAAAGAAATGCATCAAGAATTCTGCAGCACTTGCCTCTCAGGGAGAAAGTGAGAAGAAGGGACACGTGGACAGAAAGTTAAAAAAAAAAAAAATCAAAATACCCCTAACAATCCTGCATGTTTTGCCCCAAAGAGTAACACTCTTTTGAGCAAAATTTGATTTCAGAACTGGTCTGAAAGCTGCTGCCTCCTCAAAGGTCTAGCAGCTCTCTCCTCTCAACGCAGCAGTAGAAGGAAGATGCTTGGAATGAGACCACCATCCCTGGAGCTGTTACCTTGATAAATTATACAGTATCATTCTGCCTGAACTCTCTTTGTCAAAGTGCACTCTGATTTGAAGTTCTGATATTAATTTAAGCTTCATAATGTTGGATTTATTCTCTCAGTCTTAGTTTAATTTTAAGAAAGTGCAACCAAATTTGGAAAGGGTCTCTTTTTTTTTTTTTTTTTTGTGGTTGCCACAGAATCTCTTCCATGCTAACCTTGCATTTTTGAAACCTTGGTCACCATGAAAACTGCAGGCCCCTGACGCTTCTCCAATATCTAGGACTAAATATACTGATAGAAGAAAAAACCTTTGCAGAACGTAAGATTACTGACCTTTCTTCATTCATACCAACTACAAGTATTTACAAGAACCACTGTCAGTGCTGTGCACTCAGGTGCATGGTCAGGCAGCGGTAACAGTGGAGAGCCCTTTGTTTATCGGGAGAGGAGGTGAACGTGTCCGCTGCGCAGCGTCTCTGAGAACACAGACCGCTCCCTGCACCGCCCGGCCCGGTTCTCCCCGGCCGCCTAGTGGCCTCGGCGGGGCGGCTCTCCCAGGTCTGTGCTGCATCCTAAAGGCTCTCTCTCCCGCCCAGCAGAAGCATCGGTTCAATTGATAAGAAATTAAAATAGACACTCTTCCTATGCCTTTCATAGCACTACAGCACCCATGCAAATGTGGAACTAACGAGTGCTGGCTGTAAATACACGGCTGATCCCTTGGTGTGAAGCCTGATTTTTACTTCCTTTGTTTCCCTGCTACCCAGGAATCCACGGGCAGATGCCTGCATTTCACTTGGCAACGGTGCTAGCAAAGCTTCCTGTCAAAGTTCAAGGGAGGTCCACGCTGCGTTGTGCATCCTCTGTGTGGTCACTGGAGACCACAGGAGGACCACGTGGCGTTCTTTGTTTACAGAAATGCTTCTGGATCCTGGAGAGAAGGATCCACTGACGCACATTAATTTACAAGATCTGACCCTTGCCTCTGATGGAGAAAATGGATGCGCTTTGGACAATGGTGCTGTTCAGGCTGCTTTAAGGGAAGCTGCACTGATTGTTCACAGTGGCAGGAATGGTTTAGGAGATCAGGGCGTTCGCACCATAAAGTAAGTTGCCTGAAAGCGCCGCGTGTCTCGGCGGCTGGGCCCGCGGCCCGCCTCCCCCACCCGCCAGGGGCCCCACCTGCCCAGGCGCGTGTACCCGCGTGGCGCACAGGTCCTGCGGCTTGGTGCTCAGGTTCTGCGGCATCTCGCGGCAGCGCGTGGACAGGTTGAGGATGGCGGTGGCCGCCATGTGGGCCGCCTCCATGTCGTGCGTGTAGTCGAAGCTGCTCTTGCTGCAGGTGCTGCTGGCGCTGCTGCCCCCGCCGCAGCTCAGGTTGCTGCTGCTGCTGGGCGCGTAGCTGCTGGTGCTGCTGCTGCTGGGGCTGGGGTCCTTGCAGTACCGCTTCGCTGGGGAGACAGGGACAGGGATGACTCAGGCCCCGGCCGCAGGGCACACGGCAGACAGCACATGGCAGGGCCTGCCCGCCCCGGCCTTAGCCACACACAGCCGCGTGGGACGGCCCTCAGGGTGCCGGGGCTTCGGTGTAAAGAAAACAAACAACAGGCAAACGAAAACAAAACAAAACCCTCTGGCTCCTTTCCTTTTTTTCTACTTTTTCCCCTTTTTCTTATTTTTTTTGCCCTGGAGGAGCATTCATCACCTGTTGGAAAGGCTGCACCTCGCACCCAGCACAGACAGTTACCTGGTCCCTGGAAAGACAGACACAGGGCTGGCTAGCTTTCAGGAACCACAGGGTGTAGGCAAGTGACCAGGAATTCCAGCCCAGTCAAACCCCTGTGGAGGCCCTAAGAGTGGGTGGGGCTCCTCCCCCGCACATGAGGGCTCGCGAGCACTTTTGGTGACCCGACCTGGATCCAGTCTCTCATCTGTCAAGAAGTGGGCTGTTCCTTTGAGCCAGAGGGGCTGTGGCAGCCTCCTGGGGCCCGGGTCCTCTGTGCAGGTGACCAGGATTCAAGGGGACCTGGGGGCCACCTGCTGGGCCTGTGGGGACCACGTGCTTTGGGAAGTGGATTTCTGGCTGGGCCTGCAGACCAGACAGGGTGAGTCCAACATTCTTCTTTTCTAGAATGCTGATGCCGGCCATGGGAGTGAAAGGGGGAAATGCACGTAGAGAATACGCTCAGGATAAATGTCGGAACACCTGAGTGGCCACTCGGTGGCGGGCAGACATGTGGGGCACGTGTGCAGCTGCCCCTTTCATAGCCACGGCCTCTCTGTTCCCTGCACTGACCCTCACTGACACGATTCCCACTGCCCGGTAATCCTTTCTGAGCCACCACACTCACTAACGGCCAAACCGGCACTGAGGGGCAAGGGTTATTTGTTAGAGCTGTTAAAAATCTCCTTTAGTACATGAAAATGTTTCAGTCCAGGATTTATCTGATGGGTCCTTCTTTATTAATTGTTATCCCTGCCAGTTAATGTCACAGGACATCATTTGTGCATGGCCAGACATTTCACTTGGAATCCAGCAGAGTGAAGAGTTACTCAGGGGTGGACCTGGTGTCTCTCATGTCCTAAATCCCTCTGTCAGTGAGTCCCTCCCTTTAGGAGGCAACTTCTTCCCCAAGACATTCCTGCCTGCTTCCCTGGGAGCAGCGTGAGTGCAGCTGGGAGGACTTGGTGATAGGCTAGAGACATTCCAGCCCGGGTTCTCCTGGTGCTTAGGGCTGCCCTACTCCTAATCAGCAAAGCTCCAGGCTGCCTAATTCCAACGGAAACTGTGGTTTTATCTGCTGCTACAAGGAAAGGGAGACCTCGCAGGCAGTCATGGCTCCCGCGGTGTCTTCCGTGCCATCAGCAGCAGCTCTGAACCTGGAACCAGGCTTCCCCAGGGACTCCTCCCCACAGAGGAAGAAGAGAACAAAGCTAAGTGAAGCAAAAAGCTTTCTCACATTGCTGATACGGTCATTATGAACTAATGCTAAGAAATTGCCCTGGATTCGGATACAAAGGAAAAAAAGAAGCGGTCATCATTGATAAGGTTTGGTTTGGGACTGAAAGCTCTCAGGACATGGGGAAGAGGTGTGTTATTGGTGACTCTGTAACGCACAGGCCCCTGCAGAGGAAGCACTGAGGACAGTACCCAGGGCGGGAGTTGGCCACACTGTCTTCGTCTCAGCCTCTGCCAAAAGCTACAGAGAATTCCCCAAGCAAGTGACCGCTTTACACCCAGATTCCCGTACATGAACCAGAGGCTCAAATCCACACCCACAAAACCCATGAAATACAACAGTCATCTGTTGATATTATGACTGTGTTTTGCTAATCTGAATGAGCAAAGCCACCCAGAGTGGTCCCACGGCTGGTGGGGCACAGCTGCCCCTGAGAAGCACGTCTGAGTGTCCATCAGTGTGCCCTCCCTTCTCTCTCCTTTGGGAACGCCCCTCCTCTAAGGAGCCCAGCAGCACAGGGCGGGGTGGGTAGTGGCTGCTGGTCTGAGCAAGGCCCACGCCAGGGCTTTTGAGAGAGACCACCATGGGGCTGCAAGGGAGTCAACCAGAGGCAGACAGCAGAGGTTGTGAGGACACCCCTACTGGCCCTGTGCAGTGAGCACCCTGAGCCACCCTGAGCAACCATCAGTTTGCAGTTTGTGATACTCTGGATATGAACTAAAGGTTGTGATTTTACATCATTTACAATTTTGTTAAGAAATAGTAGAACAATTGTAGGAGAAATGAAATAATAATATGGGGTTTCGTTTTTACTGGTGAGGGCTAGCCACTGGTTTAGGGAAAAAAAATCATTGCCCACATAAATTAAAAAAATAATAATAATACTTTTGTTTTGAAATGAGGGAATTTCAATTCCTAAAAAAAATTAAAGGAATAACACAAGTCAATGCAACAAACAACTGCAGCTGGCCTAGGCTGGCTGGCAACCTTGCCCTCAGCTTTGGTGAGGGCGATGCTCAGGAGTGTGGGTGCAGAGGTGAGGCAGGAGCTTCCGTTCACGCCCAGAGACTTCTCGTCACAAGCTCCTCTCACCATGACTCTCGCTACACTGTGTTCACAGCAACCTCCAACAGAATTGCATCTAGACTTCCGCCACCCTGTAAGATGCTACCACATGCCCACCTCACAGATGTGGAGACTGAGGCTGCCCAATGTCCACAAAGAGCCTCGACTGCCATCAACGATGTGTTTGTCTGGGAGAGCTCAGCATCTTATCAATTAGAAAATGCTACCCCAGCATCTCTATATACCACTAACATCCAGGCTGATCGTCAATCAAGCAGATAATCCCATTCACAGGAGCCACAAACAAAAGGAAATACCTAGGAACACAGCTCACCAAGGAGATGAACGATCTCCACAAGGAGAACGATAAAACACTACTGAAAGGAATCAGAGATGACACAAATAAACGGAGAAATGTCCCATGTTCATGGATTGGAAGAATCAATATTGTTAAAATGGCCATACTGCCCAAAGCAATCTACAGATTCAATTCTATTCCTATCAAACTACCAATGTAATTCTTTACAGAGTTAGAAAAAAAATGACTCTAAAATTTCTATGGAATCAAAAAGGAGTCCAAATAGCCAAAGCAATCCTAAGCAAAATGAACAAAGCCAGAGGTTACACTCTACCTGACTTCAAAGTACACTATAAGGCTACAGTAACCAAAATAGCTTGGTACTGGTGTAAAAACAGACACACAGACCAGTGGAACACAATAGAAAACTCAGAAATACAGCCACACACCTACAACCATCTAATCTTTGACAAGGCCAATGCGAGCAAGCAATGGGGAAATGGTACTGGGATAACGGCTGAGCTATTCACAGAAGAATGAAACTAGACCCATACCTTTTGCCATATACAAAAATTAATGTAAGATGGATTAAAGATGTAAATGTAAGATGGCAAACTATAAAAATTTAAGAAGAAAACCTAGGAAATACCCTTTTCAACACTGACCTTGGCAAATATTTTTTTGGCTAGGTCTCCAAAAGCAATTGCAACAAAAACAAAAATAGACAAGCGGGACCTAATTAAAGTAAAGAGCTTCTGCACAGCAAAAGAAACCATCAATGGAGCAGACAGACAACCTACAGAATAGGAGAAGATATTCACAAACTATGTCAGATGACAAAGGCCTAATATCTGACATCTGTAAGGAACAACTACATCCACAAGCACACCATAAAACCCCATTAAAAATGGGTAAAGAACATGAACAGACACTTCTCAAAAGAAGACATACAAGTGGCCAACAATCATGTGACAAAATGCTCAACGTCACTAATCACCAGAGAACTGCAAATCAAAACCACAGTGAGACAGTTTCTCACACCCGTCTGAATGGCTACTATTAAAAAGCCAAAAACAGCAGATGCTGGAGAGGCTGTGGAGAAAAGGGAACACTTATATATTCTTGGTGGAAACGCAAATTAGTTCAGCCACTGGATAGTAGCTTGAAAGTTTCTCAAGGCACATTAAATAGAGCTACCATTAGACCCAACAGTCCCGTTACTGAGTATTTACCCAAATGAAAATAGATCGTTGTACCAGAAAGACACATGCACTCGTATGCTCATCACCATGCTCTTCACAGTAGCAGAGACATAGAATCAACTAGGCGCCCATCAGTGGTGGATTAGATAAAGAAAATGTGGTACACAGACACTGTGTAATACTATGCAGCCATAAAAAGAATAAAATCATGTCATTTGCAGTAACATGGATGGTGCTGGAGGCCACAAACCTGAATGAATTAATGCAGGGACAGAAAACTTTGTACCACATGTTCTCACTTGTGAGTGGGAGCTAAACATTGAGCACACAGGGACATAAACATGGGAACAATTGACACTGTGGACACTAGAGAGGGACGTGGGTTGGAGAACTACCTCTTGGGTACTGTGTTCACCACCTGGGTGCAGTATGCCGTGTAACGAACATGCACAGGTACCCGCTGTGTCTAAAATAAAAGTTGAAACAAGAAAGAAAGATGCTACCTCTATGTGACAACATTTTACTTCAAAGAATTTTTAACTAAAACGACTCTCTGCATTTCTTCCTCTCATCTTACTTGAGTCACCTTAAATTATCCTGAAGTTATAAAATGTAGATGTGACGATGCGTTGACTTTTCCAGATATTTATTTCATAAGATGCTACAGCTAGATGATGCCAAGTGGACAGTACCAAATTTTAGTCGGTGACTGATTTATTCTTTTGATGCGCCTGTCGACTCACTACACTCAAATGGGCAGCGAAGACAGCATCTACTTTCACATGCATCCTTTATTGAATATTAAAAAATGATTTGAAAGTTTTAATTGAAACAAAAATAAAAATGAGTGCCTACAGTTGAAATTGCTCAGGAAAGGAAGGTCTTTGGTCCTAATAATTATCCCTATTTGTAAAATGTCAGCATAG